AAAAAAAAAAAAAAAAAAGAAAGAAAAAAAGAAGGGGTAAGAAGAAACCAAAAAGAATTGAGCCCTGCTGTAAGATGTCAGAAAGTATGAACAGATCCTTCCAAGTAGACTGTCCCTATGGAGACTGACTGTGACTGTGTCTTAACCGGGGCAGTAGGGAACCAGGAAGACAGCTCACCCAACACACACTCAGGCCCCATGGCAGATGTTCTAGATGGCAAGTGTAATAAGCAAGTGAGAAAGAATAAAGTTCTGTTCTACCTTGAAGTGGGCTAGACTGCCCATGGGTCCCATCAGAAAGCGAATGAATGAACTGGCGGGAACTGGAGCCACCCTATAAGAGTAGTCCTGCTTCTTTACAGCAAGGGAGCCCACAGCCGCTTCAGCAATGCCACGGCCCAGCAAAACCCTTCTTATAAGCCCGACTTTCTGTACTCGGCCTCTGCAATGACACCACCTCAGCTAGCAGGAAACTGTAAAAAATCCAAGTTGCAGAGAAGAGTCCTTCAAGAGCAGTGTCCCAGGACTCTCTCTGACGAATCCAGCAGGCTCCACAATGCCCTGGGTTGCCCACCGCAGACCCATCCCCCACCCTGCAGGAGAGGGAAGGGAAGGTGAACATCTGTGTCCATTCTTTTTCAAAAATTATGAAAATATAACTTGAAGGAAAATCAATCCATGCAAGTATCCCTTCTGGCATAATTAAGCTCCAAACAGGTTTTCAAATGAGAAAGGTGTCCTTTTATTCCGCCAATACATTTTCTTATTGAGATATAATTTGCATACTATAAAATTCACCCTTTAAAGTGTACACTTCAGTGGTTTTTAGTATATTCATAGAGTTGTGCAACCATCACCACTATCTAATTCCAGAACATTTTCATTACCTCAAAAAGAAACTAAAGTCTATTTTAAATTACTCCTCTGCCCAGGACATTCTACAATCATATACTTCTGACCACTTTGCATTCCCAACGAGTAATTAAGTGTCCAAGGTATTTTTGTATTGACCTAAAAGTTTAGCAATAACTCAAGGTAAAATGTCAGACTGTTGGCGAAAATGTCTAAGCTGTTACCAGCAGTCACCATGTTCAGAAACTGGTGGCTAAACACACCCCCCAAACCAAAAGTAGCTCCAGACCAAAATTCAGGAATGTTGTACAGAAGCATTCACTAGAGTGGGACACTTTATAGTAAAGTGTAGGGGGCTGGGCGTGGTGGCTCATGCCTGTAATCCCAGCACTTTGGGAGGCTGAGGTAGGCAGATCACCTGAGGTCAGGCATTCAAGACCAGCCTGGCCAGTATGGTGAAACCCTGTCTCTACTAAAAATACAAAAATTAGCCAGGTGTGGTGGCGGGTGCCTGTAATCTCAGTTACTTAGGAGGCTGAGGCAGAAGAATCACTTGAATCTGGGAGGCGGAGGTTGCAGTGAGCCAAGATTGCACCACTGCACTCCAGCCTGGGCAACAGAGCAAGACTCTGTCTCAAAATAATAATAATAATAATAATAAAGTGTAGGATCACTGAAAGAGCAGCATTTAAAAAGAAAAACTTAGAAAGAGGGTCATGAGGCCAGGTGCGGTGGCTCACGCCTATAATCCCAGCACTTTGGGAGGCTGAGGTGGGTGGATCACGAGGTCAAGAGATAGAGACCATCCTGGCCAACATGGTGAAACCCCATATCTACTAAAAATACAAAAAATTAGCCGGGCTTGGTGGCGGGTGCCTGTAGTTCCAGCTACTCAGGAGGCTGAGGCAGGAGAATCACTTGATCCGGGGAGGTGGAGGTTGCATTGAGCCGAGATTGCGCCACTGCACTCCAGCCTGGCGACAGAGTGAGACTCCATCTCAAAAAAGAAAAAGAAGAAAGAAAGAGGGTCAGAAGACCTACTACTCGCCTACTCTGCATTATCTTGGTCAAATCACTTAACTCCTCGGGTTTTCAATCTCCTCATTTGTATTAGGATGGTGCACAAGTAATTAACACAATTCGGTGGTACCTGGGATAATCGCTAAGATTCCTTCCAGCTCTCACCATCATAAGTGTAACAAATGAACAAGCACAACCTCTTAGCTGAAGGGCAGCATGATTTCTTTAGGTAAAAATTATTTACCCAGCCGGGCACAGTGGCTCATGCCTATAATCCCTGCACTTTGTGAGGCTGAGGTGGGCAGAACACTTGAGGTCAGGAGTTCCAGACTGGACTGGGCAATGTAGTGAAACCCCGTCTCTACTAAAAATACAAAAATTAGCCAGGCATGGTGGCAGGTGCCTATAATCCCAGCTACTCAGGAGGCTGAGGCAGGAGAATCGCTTGAACCCAGGAGACAGAGGTTGCAGTGAGCCGAGATACACCACTGCACTCCAGCCTGGGCAACAGAGCAAGACTCTGTCTAGGGGGAAAAAAAAAAAAAGAATTATTCACCCAAGTCCGCTAGAAATAATTCAGGATGTAAACCAAGGAGAATCTGTGAACATAACTTTTGAAAGGCCTTTGACAAAAGCACATTTCAAAGGGACAGGACACTTAGTCGGCTCTTAAATGTCTGCTGGGTGGCAGCTACCTGGCTGCATAAAGGAATGATAGGAGACGCAACTGAAAGGCAGACGACCAGCAGTAGGGGTAAGCAGAGGCCATTTAGGGTTAACAGTACGGCTTCACAGGACTTACTATTCCACAAAAGATAGACTTTCAGCAAACGACAGCAGAGAGGGGACTCAACAGTAAACCCTGGAGTTTTCAGAAGTCATCGTTCACAGGAGCAGGCAGACAATAGGAACTGTGCTTTCATGTGGCAAGCAGAGTGTAATGTATTAAGAAAATGTATTCAAGTTACCCTTACGAGACATGGATTCAGATATGTCACATACAATCTAGAAGCGTTATTCCTGAGTCGCTACCAACAAGTCCCTGAGGATCCTCGCTCAGATAGCAGGTAAAACACCAACAGAAAGAAGCAGCTGAAAACGCCAACAGAAAGCTGTTATTGCTTCAAGCACAAGATGAGACCTAGAAAGGACCTTAGGAAGCAGCCAATTCACCTTTTCTAGATGTGAAAACTGAGACCTAGAGGGCCTGGGTAATGCCTTATGCATAGCAAGTGGTCAGTAAACATTCGTTTTGTGTGTGTGTGTTTTTAAGAAAAAAAGAATTGACTCCTTTCATCTGGAATTATGAGAATTGGATGGTGACATATGATACAAACTTTAAAAATGATGCCAGATAGAAAGAGGGTAACTCAAAAATATATTTGCAAAATTCAAACAAGAATTAGAGAACCAACTCCTTCACTAAATTATTTCTTTTTTTTTTTTTTTTTTGAGACTGAGTCTCACTCTGTCGCCCAGGCTGGAGTGCAGTGGCATGATCTCCGCTCACTGCAAGCTCTGCCTCCCGGGTTCACGCCATTCTCCTGGCTCAGCCTCCCAAGTAGCTGGGACTACAGGCACGCACCACCATGCCCGGCTAATTTTTTGTATTTTTAGTAGAGACGGGGTTTCACCGTGTTAGCCAGGATGGTCTTGATCTCCTGACCTCGTGATCAGCCCGCCTCGGCCTCCCAAAGTGCTGGGATTACACAGGCGAGAGCCACCGTGCCTGGCCCACTTATTTCTTATATTTACCCCCTAATATTTTATTTGAGGTTACCCTTTGGGATGATTCTGATGATGGGATTTGGGGTACCACAGCAGGCCTTGGGAAATATTATGGGATGGCAAGAGGCCCCTCATATTCTGCCATAAGAGCAATAACTTCTGCTCCTGAAGTGATCACCAAAAACAGATTCAGGGAGTTTTTTGAACTTTTGAACTTTTTCACCAAATTTTTTAATACTAGAAATGAAGAGCAATTCAGGATGCTTGGAAAAGGAATTTCAGAAGAGGGCAAAATAAGCACTAGTTTACTCGGCAGGAAATAGACCTGTCTGTATAGCTGAGATCATACTGGATGAAAACACAGACAACAAGAAGGCGTAGGAATAAATTCCTGGTTGATAAATTGGTTTGTTAAGAGCAGTTTCAAATAGGTGGGACCTTCCTGCCCTTGCAGTCATCCTAGGGGGCAACGACATTCTCTTGTGAAATGTCTCTGAGAGACAGGCTCACTGGGTCCAATGAGCAATGTCAAACAGACAAACAAAACAGCACTTGGTGGGGGCATTTACCTGTGGGATGAGATGCAAATGCCAGGAGCACCACACTGGAAAAGAGACAGCAAAGTAGTCAAGAAGTTTCCCCCGCACCAAAAACCCTAGCTGTTCCCACCCATTTTACTTGGAAATAGTTAAATTTGCCTAAAAGCAAATTATCTGCACTGACTCATTCTGACTAAATCCAGCTCCTCAGAGAGAGTAAGAATGTCTTGAAATGTCTCATGTTTTGGCAGGAAGATTGCCTCTTGGGACAGACAGGCTTGGGACAGAATATGAATCCATGTCTCAACCTGAGGGTTCACTGTGTCTCTTTTCTTGGTCCTGGCTGACCCTAGTTACGATCATACTCACCTAATCTACCAAGAGTATTTACAAGCTAAACGAAGCAAACTCTGAATTAAAATAGGTTGCAATGTAAAAGCTAGCTGTTGTGTGTGAGCTATGTATATTTTTGCCACAAAATTAACTGTGTAGAAGATAGTTACATTTCCAAGAGGCTAGCCCACAATTGATCCAGCCCATCCACCATGTGTCTGAAAACTACCTTTACTGATTTTAGATGCCACAGAGGGGAAAGGATGAAAAGAGAATGAAGAGGAGTGTTCCTTTGATGTGAGCCCTGTTCATCCTTGGCACCCTCCCGTTGTCCTTTCTGGAAACCCCTCCCATCCCGCAGAGCCCCTCTACAGAGCCTTCACGCTGCCAAACCCCACCGTGGGGGGCCCAATCCCCCACCCTCTGCAACCTCTTCCATCAAACCTCATGCCATCCAGGCAGCCAATCAAATTAGAGGCTAGGAATAAAACATGTTTTCTACGTATGGGAGGAAATTTTTTATTTTTATTTTATTTTATTTTTTAAATTTATTTACTGTTTATTATACTTTAAGTTTTAGAGTACATGTGCACAACATGCAGGTTTGTTACATATGTATACATGTGCCATGTTGGTGTGCTGCACCCATTAACTCGTCATTTACATTAGGTATCTCTCCTAAAGCTATCCCTCCCCGCTCCCCCCACCCCACGACAGGCCTCGGTGTGTGATGTTCCCCTTCCTGGGTCCAAGTGTTCTCACTGTTCAATTCGGGAGGGAATTTTTTGAAGTGCTGGATGGCCTACTCTGGTTCTAAACCCTGGCTGCGTATCAGAATAGCCCAGTGTCCTGGCTTAAATCGGAATCTCTGAGGTGCAGGCATCAGTTGTTTTATTTTGCTATGGCCTCTCAGTGGCTCTAAAGTGCACCAGGACTGGGAACTACCACAAGGAATCCCTAGTCGGTGGTGACATCCTAGCAGTGTGGAGGAAGATGGCTGTGAGCAAAGAAACCACTGGGAGCCCTGCCTGCTCTGGGGCTGTCTCCCAGAACCATTTCTGTGTTTCTTGTGATCTTCCTGTGCTCTTCCTCTAAAGCTCAGGTTCTCTGATGGCCCCAGGGCAGCAGCACTGTGGACAGAGGCTACACAGGAGGCTTGGGAGAAAGCCAGTGGGAAGAGCCACACATCTGGTCATTGAGAAGTTGTAGGTGTGTTTGACAGGGCTGCATGTAGCTATAAACGAGACTGGAGACTTTGCAATGATTAGCCCTTTGCATGGGCTCTCTAAGTCTTTGCCTCCATCTCACCTTTCTTTGGAAAACATATACCCTGTTCATACTCCATTATTTTATCTCCCTGAATCCCTTTTGGGTTATAACTTCAGGAGCAGAAGTGATCACTCTTATGGCAGGATATGAGGGGCCTCTTACCATCCCAAAGCATCTCTCAGAGCTGGTCACGTATCCCAAATCCCATCATCAGAATCACCCCAAAGGGTAACCTCAAATAAAATATTAGGGGGTAAATATAAGAAATAATTAAGTGAAGGAGTCGGTTCTTTAATCCTTGTTTGAATTTTGCAAATATAGTGTTAAGCCACTCCTAACTCCTACCAAAGCAGGCCATTCAGTACTTGAAAAAAAAATCCCTCCAATACTTAGATCACATGTTTATGCCTAACCTCTAACTCAATCGGTTGTCTGGATGGCATGTGTTTTGATAGAAGAGGCTGCAGAGGGTGGGGGACTGGGCCCCCCACAGTGGGCTTTGGCAGCGTGAAGGCACTGCAGAGGGGTGCTGGGGGATGGGAGGGGTTTCCAGAGAGGGCGATGGGAGGGTGCCAAGGATGAATGAGGCTCACATCAAAGGAACACTCCTCTTCATTCTCTTTTCATCCTTTCCCCTGTGTGGCATCCTACACTGCGACCTCCCTGGGGGCAAGAACCATAGTTTATTCATCCTTGGATCCCTAGCAGTGCCAGACATCATATGGCAGGTACACAATACGTTTTCTGGACTGCAATTAATCACTCTAGGTGTACTGTGGTGGGACTATGTTTGAAGGAAAATGTAACTTGAAGCCCTGTATACTTTTTTTTTTTGAGACAGGATCTCTCCGTCGCCCAGGCTGGAGTGCAGTGGTGCAATCATCACTCACTGTAACCTTGAACCCTGGGGCTCAAGTGATCCTCCTGCCTCAGCCTCCCAACACGGAAACCCCTTAGAGTTCTCAGATTATAAATTACGTGCACATTATAATGAAGAAATTATACTAATATAAAAAGAGTATATCATGCTGTTCTAGTAAAGCAGGCTCATTCTCTGCTTGGCCTGGGACAAGGATACAAACAGAAGTCCACATACCATATTTAAAAGTTATAAATCAAGCCTCAGACTTCATCCTACCTTAACAAATACACCTTCAAAATAACCTGAAAGTCTAGTTTAAAATGTAGAATTCTTGGGCTCCCTGGTGCTGCATGTCAGAATGGAGCAGCCCAGGGCAGCCTCTGACTCCCGGTTGGCAATGCCTCCCTTTTCTTTCCACCCCAGGCTTCATCCTGCAGCCCAAGGGCCTCACACATGTGTGGACACCTGAGCCTGCAAGGTCACCTCCACCTCCACTCCGGCCCATTGAGAGCCTCTCTTTGGACACCCCTTGGGCCTGAGAATGAGTTGGGAAGATGGACCCAAGGAGCCCTGGAGTCGAGCTCAGGGACACGGGTGGGGATTCAAGGACACAATCTAGAAGTGAGGGGGTGGGCTCTGGGATGAGAGAAACGTCCTTAGCCTCACAGGTGCCACGCCCCAGAGGAGGGATGTAGCCCTCTGAAGTTTAGGGCCTGAGAGAGGCCCCTCTTGCCTGGTCTAAGGGCAAGACTACTATTTGGTCTCCTCAACTCTGGTTATCCTCAAATTCTGTAACTTACCTTCCTGGCAGGCACACTGGCTCAGAACTCTTCAATCAAAATATTATTGGAAAATAAAAATCCATTACCCCTAAAAGGATATGAACTGTTCTTTAAAAATGTAAATTATATTTTACCTGAATATATAGTTTAAGTATTGCTGGTCAATGTCACTAAGGAATGAGAGAGAAAAAAAGATAAATGAAATAGCAGAACTATTTTAAATACATAAAATAATCATTATCTTCTATTAATAAATTCTATGTTAGTTACTACTTTTATAAATTACCCATAAATAGAGGGAAAAGGATTTAATATTCAAAACCAGTTACTAGTTCATTTTAAATCACACACATTTTCACCTGTGGGCAACTGTTTCCCACGTATACATTTGTCACTTTCAAAGGAGTGTCAACTATCTCAGGCCACTGGACTGGCTTCTGCGGCTACCATATTTAACAAGTAAAAATACAGGGCAATCAAATACATTTGAATTTCTGATTAAGAGTAATGTTTTAGTGTAAGTACTATCTGTTCCGAATATTACAAAAATTATTCGAGGCTTATCTGAAATTCAAATGCAACCAGGCATCCTGTATTTTATCTGGCAACTCTACTGGCTTCTTGCTACAAAAACATTTTATTAAAAGAACAAAAGGTGCTTCAGGGAGTGGAAGCCCCACATTCTTAGAGTGGATGACCTTCTCTCAGGAGTCATTCCCTTCGAACCTTTTCTCATTAGGCCTTCAGCAGGCCCCAAAACCCAGAGGCCAGCTGGCCGGTCTAGGGGAACTGGCCTTACAGCTCCAGGCCTGAAGTCTTGTCTTTTCTCATTTACATTCACCAAAGCTGCTCCATTGACTGCCTGCAACAAAGGCCTCATTTTGCCCAAGAATGAGCTAGGAAGTGGAGAGACTTCTGGGTCTAAAGTAAGTCAAATTAGGATGGAGCTCGGGAAACAAGAAAAAGTACTGTCCCTCTGTGATCAATGCAGCCGACTGGCACCCAAAGCAGCTGGCCACATACATTTCATTCACATGTCATCTGAGAGGTGACATGTGAATCTCCTGAAGGAAGGGGATTGAGACTTCCATGCCTCTTCACACACGGCTAAAGGCAGGCATGTTCCAGGTGTTAGCGGACACAGCCTGGAGTGGCCCAAACAGCAAGAAGAGGGACGGTTTCAAGGACTAAGTCCCCTGCCCTCACCACAATCCAGGCCTGCAGAGTCTCTGGCCGAATGGAAGAATTTCATGATACCACAAGTCTCAACCCTTTCCTTTAGGCCAACCACAACTCACCAAACATTAAGAGTTTGTCTTGGCCAGGCACGGTGGCTCACACCTATAATCCCAGCACTTTGGGAGGCCAAGGCAGGCGGATCACCTGAGGTCGAGAGTTTGAGACCAGCCTGACCAACATGGAGAAACCCCTCTCTACTAAAAATACAAAATTAGTGAAGCGTGGTGGCGCATGCCTGTAATCCCAGCTACTCGGGAGGCTGAGGCAAGTGAATAGATTGAACCCAGGGGGCGGAGGGTGAGGTGAGCTGAGACTGCGCCATTGCACTCTAGATCGTGCCATTGCACTCCAACAAGAGTGAAATTCCATCACAAGGGAAAAAAAAGAAAAGAGTTTAAGAGTTTACCTTAATGCACTGGGTTTCTGGGACTTCCGCAGAATTTTATAAGCCCCTGAAAATGAAATAAAACATGTCACTGGTCATGGTATTCTGCTCAAGGAACTGCTGGCATGTCCAGGGAAACACAAAATCCACATGGATAAAGGCCCCCAAAGGCATGACTGCTGGTCCTTTTCCCTATGAGGGTCATACCCAGCTGACAGGAGAAGACCATCAACATTTGGACGGTTTCAAGGATGCAAATTCAATAATCCTCTATGATAACGCAGTCAGTCCTTCCAGTGGTCCCCAGAGTGCTGGGCATGGAAAGCATCATGATCAATGAAGGACACAATTAAGGAAGGTGTTACTTCCTTGACATGATGCACATGAAAAAAGAAACACCCCTGGATTGCTGAACATTTCCGAGCTGTGTTAACAGTCAGGGCACTGCTTCTCCCCCAGGACTACAGACAAGCAACACTGAACGTATGCTTTGTAATAAAATCAGATGGTCCCTTTATTTGACCAATTTCAACTTTTTTGGTAAATTACCGGAAAAAAAAAAAGTTTTTGACATGAACTTCTGAATATCTTCCCAACGTTTTTAGAGAAGACCAATCAGCGTTCCAAAAGTTGACTTGAGCAAGTGAAACCCCAAGTCATGGTGAGTTAGTTCATATTTGCCATGAAAAAAGAGGAAAGTATATTGGAAATGGACACATTTGAGGAAAAACCTCAAAATAGAAAACCAATCCAGAAAATGACCATTTAATTTTAACCTTCACACCTTGGATTTGATTTTCCTATTGTCCAGGGTCACCAAAAAGTGGGTATACAATAAACCTCAATTATTCAAGTAAGCCTCCCTCCCTCCCTCCTTCTTCCCTCCCTCTTTCTCTCCCTCCCTCTTTCTCTCCCTCCCTCTTTCTCTCCCTCCCTCTTTCTCTCTCTCCCTCTCTCTCTCTTTCTTTCCTTTTTTTTTTGACAGGGTTTCACTCTTTTGCCCAGGCTGAAGTGTGGTGGTGTGATCATGACTCCTGCAGCCTCGACCGCCCTGGCCTCAGGTGATCCTCCCACCTCAGCCTCCTGAGCAGCTGGGACAACAGGCATGTGCCACCATGCCTGGCTAATTTTTGTATTTTTTGTAGAGACGGGGTTTCTCGAGGTTGCCCAGGTGGGTCTCTGATTCCTGGGCCCAAGGGATCCGCTTGCCTTGGCCTCCCAAAGTGCTGGGATTACAAGTATGAGCCACTGTGCCCAGCCTTACGTAAGTACTATTTTAAAACTTACCTACACAGAATAAGTGAATTACAGCCCAAAAATATCCATCTGGATCAAACTGAAACACAGAATTAAAAAAAGAAAAAATGGCTATAAGAGCAAGGCAAACGGAATCCAGTGCGGCCATCAGAAACCCTGTCATCAATACACAGTGCCAAGCAAGGGTCCCAAAATAGGACCCCTGGGGCCTTACGTCAGTTCCTTGGTTCCTTCTCATTCCTCACCCAGGTGCCTACAACATCTTCCTAACAGGACTCTGCCTCCAACACCCCATGCCCCTCACTGCTATCACAAAGTTCAAATCTAAACTCACGACACCCCAAGACCTCTGTGACAAGCCCCCATCAACCCCTCCGGTTGTATGTACAGCCTCCTACTGTCCCTGAATAAGGATAACTTGCATTTTCTCAAGCATGACTGCTTCCCCCTACAACTCAACCAAGGGGACCCTCTACTTCTTCCCTTATTATTCTCCACAGGATGTAGTATCATAGGACATGTCCTATTTATTTCTTCCTTATTTGTTTATGTGTTTCTGTCTCCCCCTGCCCTCCCCTCTCATAGATGTACATTCCAGGAGGGCAGGTGTTAGGACAGGGGTAGACACACAACAGGTGCTCAATGATGCTGGATCACAGGATACTCATGACACTCCACGACTGCCCTCGCCTGCTTTCTTCTCCTGGCTAACTCCTCCTTATTCTTCCAGATTTAGGTCCTGTAAGCAGAGTCTGGCTCTAGCATCAGAGAGATCTGGGATAAATTCTAAAATCCCCACTTATTTGTTAGCTGCTGACCTTTTGAGCCTCCTTATTCTATGCTATGAAATGGAGATAATAATGCTCCCACCCTTACAGAAATGTGGGGAGATTTTAAATAACATAAGGCACAGAAAGCATTGGCACAGAGCCTGGCACACAGCAGGCTCCCTGTAATTGTGGCTACTCCTACTTCCTGAGGTCCCAGAGCCTCCTGTACCTCAGGGACAGAGCCCTGGCCTCCCTGTGTGATAATGATCTGTTTACTTGACTGTTTCCCTCCCCTCTGCTCCAAATAGGCTTGACTTCTGCCTGAGCAAAGATTAATTTTCCTCTTTGTGTCCCCAGAGCCTGGCTTAGTGCCTGACACTTGGTGGGGACCTAATAATCCTGGGGGAGAAAAGGAGGGAGAAAAAAAGAAAGAAAGGAAACCCAGAAACGAGAGGACTACTGGGGGCGGGGGTGGGTCCTCAGCACCTCATAAAGAAAACTCAACTTTAGCACAGGATAATAAAATAAAAATCATTTTGCAGGCCAGGCACAGTGGCTCATGCCTGTAATACCAGCACCTTGGGAGGCCGAGGCAGGCGAATCACTTGAGGTCAGGAGTTTGAGACCAGCCTGGCCAACATGGAGAAACCTCATCTGTACTAAAAATACAAAAAATTAGCTGGGCGTGGTGGTGGGCGCTTGTAGTCCCAGCTACTCGGGAGGCTGAGGCAGGAGAATCGCTTGAACCCCGGAGGTGGAGCTTGCAGTGAGCCGAGATCGTGCCACTCCACTCCAGCCTAGGCAACAGGGTGAGACTGTGTCTCAAAACAAAACAAAAACAAAAACAAAAAATCACTTTGTAGGAGATGAGGCCCTTGGGAGGAGAGGAAATCAACTTTGCCTCCATGCCTGAGGCTGGGGCAACCTGGGTGTTGGCTTGCAGGTTCACCAGGCATGTACAGAGGACAGACGGCAGGCACCACAGTGCCCAGGGACCAGAGCTCTGCAGGCCGCGATGCCTGCAGCCTTGGGGAGAAGGCAAAAGCCTGGGGAAATGGTATCGCCCAAGCCCAAAGCTACCCCGCCTGCAAGCTTTGGAATGCTTCTGCATAGGCCAAGTTATCCTGCTTCTAAAAGGAAGGACTAGGAAATTCTGGTCATACACCCAGGCTTCAGAGAATAAAAGACACTTTGAAGGCAAATGAGTTCACCTGGACCTACCTGGGAGTCATTGAAGGGAAGGCATCCTGCTGCGGCCAGGAGGAAGAGGGCACTGTGGAGAGGGAGATAAAACACTGCAGCTTCACCTTTCAACATCAAAGCTTTCCCCAAGAGTGTGGAGGTGAAAATGCATCCTCTGGAGTTTGGATGAGGCAAAGATCCTACGAGACCAGCTTGGTTCCTCTGTCTTTCCTCTGTGAACCTCACTACCTGTGTAGTTTTCAATTATGTGCTCTACTCATGAACAGACCTTTCCTTCTCTGGACCTCAGCTAGCTGTTTCCCAGAGTCAGGCATTTACAGGACATCTGCAAAACCACAGCTGGCTCACTCGAGGAAAATAGTGTGCCTGTGAAACATCTAATGAAACAAGTGTTTTTTTCAACTGCAGATCCCAAAAATATACAAGTGAAAAACTGGGGAATCAGACCACAAATACGCCTGTTTCAAAAATGAAAACACTACAGAAATCGCATTAAAATCCTTTGTGCACCCCCACAACCAAATGATCAAACTTAATACCACCAATAACAAGGCAGATCCACATTGTGTGCCTCTTGATATAAAGCTCGGAAGGACACCACATCACTCGGGTGGTATTCCTGCCAAATATGCAGAGCGTGGATTGAACCACGAGGAAACACTGAGACAAACCCAAATTTAGGGACAGTTCACAAAACAACAGGCCTCCCCTATTCAAAAATGCGAAGGCAATGAAAGACAATAAAAAGCTGAGGAACTGTTCCAGATTAAAGGGTACGAAAGAGACATGACATCTTTTTTTTCCTTTTTTTGACACGGAGTTTCATTCTTGTTGCCCAGGCTGGAGTGCAGTGGCGCAATCTCGGCTCACCGCAACCTCCACCTCTCGGGTTCAAACGATTCTCCTGCCTCAGCCTCCCGAGTAACTGTGATTACAGGCATGCACCACCTCACCAGGCTAATTTTGTATTTTTAGGCAGGGTTTCTCCATGTTAGTCAGGCTGGTCTCGAACTCCCGACCTCAGGTGATCCGCCTGACTCGGCCTCCTAAAGTGCTGGGATTACAGGCCTGAGCCAATATGCCCAGCTTAGACATGACATCTTTAGGGGAAAAAAGAATGTTATAAAAGATAATATTGTGCCAGGTGTGGTGGCTCACACCTGTAATCCCAGCACTTCAGGAGGCCAAGGCGGGCAGATCACTTGAGTTCAGGAGTTTGAGCCCAGCCTGGCCAATACGGTAAAACCCCTTTTCTACTAAAAACACACAAATTAGCCAGGTGTGGTGGCTCACGCCTGTAGTCCCAGCTACTCAGGAGGCTGAGGCAGGAGAATCACTTGAACCTGGGAGGCGGAGGTTTCAGTAAGCCAAGATGTGCCACTGCACTCTGGCCTGGGTGGCAGAGCAAGACTCCACCTCAAAAAAGAAAAGGAAATAATAATAATAGTAATAATATTGTGGCCAGATAAGTGGCAACATTTGAACATGGACTCAATATTAAATAATAGTATCATATCAGATGTTATTTTCTAAATTCAATGACTGCACTTTAGTTATCTAAGGGGTTGTTGTTTTTAGGAAACACAGCTTGAAGTATTTACGAGTGGAGTCATGACCTCTACCACTTATTCTCAAATGATTCAGAAAAAATAAGAGCAAGAATAATATCTACATTATCATATATGTATGCGATATTTATGTATGTTTATGCATGTGTACACATATATACATTGAGATAGCAAGAAAGCAAATGCAAAAAATGTTACCAATGGGTGAATCTAAGTGAAGAATACACGGGAGCTCCTTGTAATATTCTTGCAACTTTTCTGTAGGTTTAAACTTTCCCCCCATAAAATGTTTTATCAGATAAATTTCTTATACATACTAAAATATTTACAGATGAAATGCTAGGGTGCCTGGAATAAATACTGAACAAGGCAGTGGGTGGGGCCAGAAGCTGAAAATGGCTGAAGCTGGGAACTGGGTACACAGGACTTCATTCATTATTCTGTTTACTTTGATATGTCTTTAGAAATTTCCACAGTAAAGCAATTTTTAAAAATTCTTGCACAAAAAGTAACACTGCCAAACACAGATATTTTCAGGAAGCTATCCTCACTCATTAGAAAGTCAATTTGGAGCTGGTTCAGTAATCCCTGGTTTATGGCCTATTCCTTCTGAGTTTTATATGCCGAAAGCTCTTGCCTCTAGCTTTCCCCACTCTCTCCTCCTAAGAGAAGGCGCCAGAAAGCATAAAACCCAAATTATCACTTAGTCTCTTTCCTCTTTCCATTTTATAGAGGCAACATATATATAGTGCCCCTTAACTACTGACTATTCTATCAGGCAGCAAACAGCCAAGGATCAAAGGCGTGAACAAAAGCGCTGAATACAATGTTTTTACTTTCAGGGAACTTTGCCATATGCCATCTCCTACCAACATAGATTCTGTATTCTATATAGAGACTACATGTTTTTATATGTACACATAAACATATATATGTAACACACAACTTGGCAGGTGTAATCTTAGTACACTGAAAACAGTGGTACTGATCAATTCTGATGGTGCTCACTGCTATAACCATGTGTAGTTGCCACTGTATCCAATGGACCAGCACTGACCGGCTGGGCCAGAGGCAGGAGGACTGGCAGAGGGGCCCACGGAGCTGGCGCCTCACAGCCTTGGGAAGGTCAGGACAACACGGAGCAGCCGAGGCTGAGGACACTTCTCTACCCCAGCCCGCCCTACTCCTATAGCCTTGCTGACTTTCAAGGCACCCCAACACACAAATGACCCAGAGAAGAATCCAAGGCAAACAGTGGGATAAGTGGAGGAGAGACTGTCAGGGGAGCTTCTTGGGTCTGCCCGGGAATAGATAGGTTTTGTGGTGGGAGGAGAGGAGAATACTGATGGGTTTGGTGTCTCCCTATAGTGAAAGGCTTCACAGAATAGAGGATGCTTCCCCATCCATGGGGAATGAGTAACAGAGATCCCCCCAAACAGACAACCTCTTGGGGCTGTGGAAGACGGGGGATGCCCAAGGGTGAGACACCTGCCTGCCTGCCCACCACACCTGGCCTCGAGCAGTACCTGATTACATCAGGTATCATGAGCTTTACTGCCTCTCTTTGACACCTGCTAATCTCCTTTTAAACAGGAGGACAGTCCTAAAGTTTGGTTTTGTCTTGTTCTTTCAAGGTGGAACCTGTAATAAAGAAATAAAAGGAGGGTGGGGGATTGGATGAAAGCCCAGAAATATCTGCAGCAGAAATCCTAAATCCATCTATCAAAGCACCTTTGTTGGTTTTCTGTCTCCAGGACTGAGCTGCTTGGCCTGCAGAGGAAGCGGGAAGCAGTCAGATGCAGGGCACCCAGGTTAGAATTCAAATGCTGCAGGCACCGAGGGCTGAATGAGAGGACAGCCCAGTTTACGCTCTAGCAGAGGAAACTGAGGCAAAGAGGACGAGGAAAGCTGCCCACAATCCCCCTGTTGTGGCCCAGGACTGCAGTTCTGATCTTACAGGCCGGTGCTTTTTCCACCACGGAAAATATTAAAGACCAAATAAACTGCAAACGTTACTTTTAAATTTTTAAGTCACTTCCATGTTTTTCATTTTCATTCTCCATCAGTATCACAGTTGTGTGATACTGATGTTAAGTAAAGTTGTGGGCATCAATGACTGAAATCTAGCACAGGTTGGTTCTGGTGTTTTCTCTTTTGGAATAAAATATTTCAGAAAGAAAAGAGAAACACAGGAAATTTTAGACTAAGACACAAATTAGGGATATATGAATGTTTATAATAAATTCTTCTGTCACCTCTTAGAGTATGAATCTTCAACAAACAGTTTATCATCCAAGTTACAGTTAGGTTAAATCTTCTCTTAGGGCTTTTTGTGGGGAGGGCAGTAAACTTACCTACAGATCTTTGCAGGAGATGTGTTCTGCATAAAAGTAAAGAAACATACAATTAGACTTTTAAAACTTTTAAAATTCCTCTTAAAAGGAAACATTTTGATTAAGAGGCAAATAAACTATGAGTAGGTTTATCAAGGGCTTAACAGCTTGCTGCACTTTAATATTTACTGAGGCTTTTTCTGCTTGGACCAAATGAAGGATGACTCAGAATTTCAGAGTTGAGTCACTTCAGCAAAGTACTTTCACCATTAGAATGATGTTTACTCGTGAAAGACAAAATGATGCTGGGGCTGTGTCTTTAAAACTCTTACACACTAAGAAGAGGAGCGAGAAAGAAATAGATGTAACCTGTATTTTAAAGAGCAATTAAGCTGTTGTTCTGTTTATCCATTTATCTATCTATCTACCTATCTACCTATCTATCTATCTATCTATCTATCTATCTATCTATCTATCTATCTATCTAATCTCACTCTGTTGCCCTGGCTGGAGTGCAATGATATGGTAACTACACCCTTAAACTCCCGGGCTGAAGCAATCTTCTCACCTCAGCCTCCTGAGTAGCTAGGACTACAGGCATGAACCACCATGTACGGCTACTCTTTTTATTTTTAATTTTTTTTTAGATTTCTGTAGCAGCAGGATCTGACTATGTTGCTCAGAGGTATTGAATTCCTGGCCTCAAGTGATTTTCCTGCCTTAGCCTCCTAAAGCACGGGGATTACAGGCGTGAGCCACTGCACCCAACCTCAACTTCTATTTTAGTTCTGTCTCTTTAAGTATTCCATTCACTAATCCAGCTGACTCTGAGCAGTCCTATAAATTATCTGATGTGATATGAAAATTAAAAAACAGAAAAAAAGAGAAGGAGTATTAACATTACTCCACCCCAGGGGAGAAGGGAAAAAAAGGCAGACTGGGGGAATATAAACTTGGCATGTAAATGACCTGAAATGAAGAAATTCTGATTTGGACTCTACCATTATAACTCCTTTTGATGAGTCAGTTTAAGGAAATCAGACTTTTGTACTGAGAACGCATTTGCACATGTTAGCAGAGAGTAACACGTTAGGAGAGGGTAACACCGATTTTTCTATATTTGATAGAGGAAACAAACAGGTCCAATTCAACTTTTGATTAATTCTAAACATTTCAGAAGGATTATTCTGCTAGCTGGGAACACACTATAATTTTTGACGCCAGTTCAGGCAGTGTGAAGTATAAACATATTGTTTAGAAGTGAAGCGCTGACAAGAGAAACATGTGGCTTACTACAAAGGCTACCTTAAGTTTTCATGTGTGCTTAAATAATAAAGTTTCCCCTGTTTTAATGAACAGATTCTATTTTTGCAGCTTTAGACTCTAATCTTGGTCTTTGCCCAACCCTGCCTCTGCAGAGCCCAGGACGTGAGGCCAGCCGTGCTGTGCTGCCACCTGCTGGGAAGTTAGCCCTTAAGCGCCGAAAGGAGGAGGGCAAAGGTGATCTGCTCACACCTGCATAACTGCCCTCCGTATGGTAAATGTGTTACTCAAAAATTCTTTTTTTTCTTTTCTTTTTTTTTTTTTTTTGAGACGGAGTCTTGCTCTGTTGCCCAGGATGGAGTGTAGTGGTGTGATCTTGGCTCACTGCAACCTCTGCCTCCTGGGTTCAAGTAATTCTCTTGCCTCAGCCTCCCAAGTAGCTGGGATTACAGGTGTGCACCACCACGCCCAGCTAATTTTTGTAATTTTAGTAGAGATGGGGTTTCGCCATGTTGGCCAGACTGGTCTCGAACTCACGGCCTCAAGTGATCTGCCTGCCTTGGCCTCCCAAAGTGTTGGGATCACGGGCATGAGCCACCATGCCCAGTAGTTACTCAAAAATTGAGCTAACCGTAACCAAAACTTTAACAGCCTGGTGTAAGAGCAGAAATAGAGAGGAGGGACTGAAGGGATGCTCTTCCACTTCTGTAATAGCATGCTCACCCAGTCACTTCCAGGGCTAACGTTTCAGGCCAAAAGAAAAGGCCCCTTCCATGGAGGGGAGTAAAAGAGCATAGATCCTGGGATACAGAGAGTAAAAACAGGCAATATGTTCATTACTTAGCTCCATCTCCCAGGGCTCTGGATATGACTGAATTCATGGCAGCCATTTTCCTTTTCAGGATCCTCAGTCCAAAATAACCTAGCAACAAGTCCTACTGAGGTCTCAGGGTTCTGAATAGGTTAACTCCTCAAAAGCCATGCTGCCAAAGGAACAGATGTGGTGGTTCATGCCTGTAATCCCAGCACTTTGGGAGGCTGAGGAGGGTGGATCGCCTGAGGTTAGGTGTTCAAGACCAGCCTGGACAACACGGCGAAACCCCGTCTCTACTAAAAATACCAAAAATTAGCAGGTGTGGTGGCACATGCCTGTAATCTCAGCTACTCAGGAGGCTGAGGCAGGAGATTTGCTTGAACCGGGAGGTGGAGATTGCAGTGAGCAGAGATCACACCACTACACTCCAGCCTGGGCGACAGGGCGAGGCTCTGTATCAAAAAAAAAAAAAAAAAAAAAAAAAAAAAAAAAAAAAAAGAAGTCATGCTGCCAAAATTAACAAAAAATAGCTGACATTCCTCTGGGTCAGCTAACTGAACTGTGAGGGCTACTCACATTGCCAGGTGCTGTCCTAAGGGCTCTACATGTACTGAATCCTTTAATCATGGGGTAAGTAACAGTCATTGGTTCTATGTTAAAGAGGAGGGCACTTGAGACACTGAGGAATGAGGGAAGCTGCCCCCCTGCCCGCCTGCCAGTCCTGCGGTGTCACCTCTGCTGGCACCCTTCCCCACCACCTGACGCTCACTCTGCCTGCCTGACAAGGAGAGCCCTTTCTCTTATCAAACTGGAAAGTCCCTTCCCACCCTGCCTGACTCGAATCTACCCACTAGGGAAGCTTTCCTTGCTCCTCCCGTGCCGACTTACCGGAACTCACCCGCTGGCCCACCCATACCCTGTGCCAGCCCGAGTGTACAGGCCAGCCTCTCCGTTCAACTCTGGTTTAAGGCTAAGAAATGCATCTCCTACATCTCTGCAGCTTTAGGCCTAGCGAAATGTTTGACATTTCATAGGTACTTGATAAATGCTGAACAAATGAATAAACGAACAGGAGTATTCTAATATTAAACTGTAATAAATAAGTCTGCAAGGTACATTAATTCCTCGAGCCACGTATTGTCTTAGAGTCAAACTCTGTGTGTGTGTGTGTGCACATGTGTGTGTGCATGAATACACAAAGATGTTGTTGTGGATGGTGAAAACGAACTCTACAGCTCCAGATAGTTTATTTTCATAATCGGGGAATGAAGTCACAAAGAGGTCAACTTTTACTCTCCAAAAATGATTCTAGTAAAATCCACACATGGTAGACAAAATAGCCTTATGATAAGGGATTATTTCATCAAGGCTGTATCATCAGAAATACAAGTCTCATCAAGAACATATCGCAGCAGCATCATGGAGCAGATTTTAACCCTAAACTGCTAAATACCACCTACAATTCTATAAATAGGGAACGGCCAACACATGCTTCAACCAATGTGGAATGATAGCCTTAATAGGGTTTCCTGACCAACTGTTAAATGGAAAAACAGGATGTGTCTTACCATACGTGTAAATACATCTATATATGTGCATAGGAAAAAAGTCTGAAAGAATAGAGTGGTTTCCTCAGGGAAGTAGAAACACAGTTGATTTTTGGGTTTTTAGAGTCAAGGTCTCACTGTTGCCCAGGCTGAGGTGCAGTGGCACAATCATGGCTCACTGCAGCCTCGAACTCCTGCATCTGATCCTCCTGCCTCAGCCTTCCAAAGCTTTTGGATTACAGGCATGAGCCACTGGGTGGCCTCCCTCTGTATTTTCTACAACATCTTAAATCTTCTTAGATTTACAAAGGAAAGAAAGGTTTGTTTTAATAACAACAACAACAAAAAGTTACCCACTCACTTTTTTCTAGTTTGCCCTGACAAGAAATGATGTTTTCTGTTAGTGATCATATGGAGTTGAAGATTCAAAATCTTACGGTGTTCATTCAGTGATTTCCAAGGACAGGGCCTCTCAGCCAGACATCTGCCCTCGTCTCTAGAGTGGAAGAGGTTCCCTGCTAGATGGAAACATCCCTGAAGGACTTTCTAACCCTCACTCCCACAGTCACCCTCATCTACAGGCTCTGACCTGCCCACCAGGAAGCAAAATCCTGTGGAGATGCCTTGATCTTGTCCCCAGACCAGGTAAATCTTCATTTCTAAATTTATAAGAAAGCATCCCAGCCAGGCGCAGTGGTTCATGCCTGTAATCCCAGCACTTTGGGAGGCCGAGGTGGGAGGATCACAAGATCAGGAATTCAAGACCAGCCTGGCTAACACGGTGAAACCCTGTCTCTACTAAAAATACACAAAATTAGCTGGGCGTGGTGGCAGGCGCCTGTAATCCCAGCTACTCGGGAGGCTGAGGCAGGAGAATCGCTTGAACCCGGGCGGCAGAGGTTGCCGTGAGCCGAGATCACGCCACTGCACTCCAGCCTGGGTGACAGTGTGAGACTCCGTCTCAAAAAAAAAAGAAGTATCCTTTTGGAGAATATGAAGCCTTTTTCGAATTTGGACAGGTCATGTTCCCAGAGCTAGCCACTCTCAGGGAGGTTCTGCCCCTGAACTTCAGTGACCATTTAGTGACTCTTGAGCTCAGTCCCAGTTCTGGAGGCTGAGCCCAGAGCTCTGAGGAGAAACACCACGTGGTTCCTGCCATTGGAAGACTCAGGGAAGCAGGCCCGAGACAAGGGGAAAATCATGCCGTATCTCATTGACCCTAAGACACCACTGATTGTAAAACTTCCACTTATTTTATGTATTAGGGAGAAAGAAAAAAAAAACTACACCATGACACATCATTGATTGTAAGAGCCTTCCCACTGTAGATATTTGACTAAAATGTGAAAGAAAAGCAGCGCATGTTAGAACTGACGGACTATGGAAACTGCACGATGGTGTTGTAAGTAAAACGTCAGAGGAAGGTGCCCATCCAGGGAACCCTCCAGCTGCACAGAGATCAGCCCAAGTGCCGAGAGGCCTCCACCTCCCAGCCTGGGCCGTGGGACTGCCAAATAGAAAACGACAACTGTCTCAGCCCAGGGCTGCTCACTCCAGGCCCTGAGCAAGCGCTCAGGGGATCAAGCTCTTTTTCCTCAGTCCCAGCCAGGCCGCCTGGAGAGGAAAATGAGGACTGAACTAGGGCGGCAGCAGCTATGAGGGTGGAGGAGGCACAGACTTGGTAATAGGCTGGATGTGGCCGGGAGGGGATACTGGGGACTCCAAGGGGCCTCCTAGGTTTCTGACTTGGGTGATGATGACCAGGATTGGGGCTACCAAGTGAGAAGCAGGTCTGGAGAAACAGATCAGTTTCATTTCAGATGTCCGGGGAGAACCAGGACAGCAAGTCCCAGGGCTCTGCAGGGGAGCTGAGCTCAGCAGGGAGGTCTGGGCTGGAGACGGAGACTTGGGGGTCCTCTATGAGCAGAAGGTGGTTGGCACAATGGGTGTGGATGAGATTTTCCAGAAAGTGTGTGGCATGAGGACAGAGGCTCCTAAGAAACAGCCCAGGAAGACCTGGAAGAGGCAGACAAAGGAAAAGGAAAAGAAAGATGGATGAAGGAAAAGCCCAAGACACAGGAAGGGAACCAAGCAGGGAGGGCGCATGAAGGCCAAGGGGGCCCAGAGAGGCTGGAGGAGAAAGTAGGGGGAATGGTGGAAACAGACACGATGAGTCGCACAGACGAAGCCACCAGTGCCTTCAGCCAGGGCAGTCTCAGGGGAACAGTGGGGGCAGAAGCAGGAGCAGCAGCAGGTGACAGGGACAAGAGGGCATGGACAACACCAAGCCCGGCCCTGTCTGAGGCCTGTGGCGTGGGAGGGGAGAGAAGGGATGAGGCAGAGTGGGAGGTGCACGGGCAAGGCAGCTTGAGATCTTCCTGTGGGAGGGTTGGTTTTGTAAACACACCCTTCCAGGACTGGGTGAAGTGAGTGTCTTCTGTCTCTCATTGTCACATGGGAAGAACAGCCCGTCCTCTCCTCGGTGGGCTGATAACACCAAGCATGTTTATGGGCTCAGGGAAATAAGCCAGCAGCGAGGGAGAGGCTCACAGTGTAGGAGACGGGAGAGATGATCGACAGAGCCACCTCCAAGGAGCGGCGGGATGATGGGGGGAGATCAGGTATGGCTACAGCCTCCTTTCCTGCACACCTGTAAGAAGCATGTAGCTTGAGGTGGCCAGCTGGCCTCTCTATAGTTTAAAAGTTCCAAAAATTGGGTGGGGTGTGATGTTTTACACCTGTAATCCCAATGCTTTAGGAAGGTGAGGCAGGAGGATCCTTTGAGCCTGGGAGTTCAAGAATAGCCTGGACAACATAGCAAGACCCTATCTCTACAAATAAAAATTTTAAAGTAGCCAGGTGCAGTGGCTCGTGCCTGTAGTCCCAGCTGCTCAGGAGGCTGGGAGAGAAAGATCGCCTGAGCCCAGGAATTTGAGGCTGCAGGGAGTTATTACTGCACCACTGTACTCCAGCCTGGGTGACAGAGCAAGACCCTGTCTCTAAAAATAAAAATAAATGAAAATGTTCCAAAAATTGATATGAAACCAAATAGCAAATGCCAGAAAGAAAGAAAGAAAAAAAAAACACAACAAAACGACTTCGAAAAGAAAGACCAAATTAAAACCACCTCTAATAACATTAGTAATCTTTGCTGATGTGCAGAGCACCCACTGCATGCAGGAAACGGCTGGAAGCAGTTACTTAACAATGATAGTTGCTGTGTTCTTCGAACAAGCCTTGAACAAGTTGGTGTCATTATTACCACCTTGCACAGACGGAGGCCTGGAAGGTGAAGGAGCTTGTTCTAGCTGATATGAGGTACAGCTGGTACTGGAGAGAAAAGTAAATTTCCCTGAGGTGGGCTAGTGTCCCGGCACCCTGTGTAAAACTCTGCTATGCCTTGTCCTGTGGTGCAAGATTGGCTGGGGGTGGGAATGCTTCTCCACCAGGCCAACAGCAAACTCCTCTTTGTCTCCCAAGGGTCTGGGTCAGCCTGGCCTGGATCTGAGTTCAGTTCACATCAACAATATTCTCACATATGTCTAGTGAATTGCTGCAAAGTCAAAACTGTGTCCCATGATATCAGTGACCACTGTCAGGCAATCTTGCCTGGAGATTGGTGGCAGGAAAAGGCAGACACTAATTTGGGCCATAAAAAGAAGAGTGCTTCTTTGAAATTTAAAACAAGGAAGTAACACTAGCATTTTGCATGATCGTTTACCTCTTTCTGAAAACACTTCTGGTACCCACAGATGATAACTTCAGCTACATTACACAAAGTGAGAAACACAGGAATGGCCTGAAAGAAAACAGATAAAAAAACATGAAAATATTTTCTTCGATCTCACGATCACATGGTTCTTGATTTTTTGCTTAAAAATAAAGGCTGTGGAAACATTTGGCATCCACATATATAATCACTCCAGCAAAGACTTCGACGTGGATTAGAGCTCTTTGCTGCAGTATTTCTCTCGGTAGGTGGATGTAGAGGTTCCCCTCCTACGGGCATTCTTATCAACAAACATTTAAGTCTCCTGTGTGTCAGGCACTGTGTCCGGTGCAGGGAACACATCCCATGACAAGGCAAACATGCCCCCTCAGGCGAGAGCTCGGATGGGGCAAGAGTTCACCCCGCCCAGCACACGCAGAGCAAGCTTTCTTGGAGGAAGTGAAGTGAAGGAATGAGAACTGAACGATGAACTGGCATGGGCCAAACAAAAAGCGAGGAGGTGGCAAAATGGCCCAGGCAGAGGAGCACACCAAGACCCAGAGGAGAGAGCGGATCCAGCTTCTCCGGGGAACGGGAAGAAGTGAGGCATAGGTGAAACATAATGAGGAATGGAGAGTGAGGGACAGGAAGGGAGAGAGGTATTCACAGGCCACACTGGGAAACAGGATGGATCTGAGGGCCCCAGGAACCAGTGAAGAGTTTTAAAGCTGACCATGACATGATCTGCATGTTGAGAGGAACTCAGGCTGCAGGGTGGAAGACAGAAGGCGCAGAGGGTTGCAAAAGTCTAGGGGTACCATAGGTTGAAAAATGGCCCCCTAAGGCCAGGTGTGGTGGCTCACGCCTGTAATCCTAGCACTTTGGGAGGCTAAGGAGGGTAGATCATGAGGTCAGGAGATCGAGACCATCCTGGCTAACATGGCGAAAACCTGTCTCCTACTAAAAACACACAAAAAATTAGCCGGGCGTGGTGGTGGGCACCTGTAGTCCCAGCTACTTGGGAGGCAGAGGCAGGAGAATGGCATGAACCCGGGAGGCAGAGCTTGCAGTGAGCCGAGATCACACCACTGCACTGCAGCATGGGTGACAGAGCGAGATTCTGTCTCCAAAAAAAAAAAAACAAAGAAAAATGGCCCCTTAAAAGACATCCACATCCCAATCCCTGGAACCTGTAAATGTTGTCTGACATGGCAACAAGGGGACTTTGCAAATGTGAGTAAATTGAAGATCTTGAGACGGGAGGTTATCCTGGATTATTGGGTGGGCCCTAAATGCAATCACACGTATTCTTATAAGAAAAGGCAGGCAATCACACGTACCCTTATAAGAAGAGGTAGGTTGACATGCACAGGGAAGGGGCAGTGTGACCACAGAGGCAGAGACTGGTGTGATGCAGCCACAAGCTGGGCAATGCCGTGGCCACTGGAAGCTGAAAGAAGCAAGGAACAGATTCTCCCCTAGAGGCTCGGACTGGGCGCAGCCCTGCCCACACCTTGATTTCAGACTCTGGCCTCCAGAATTGTGAAGGATACATTTCTGTTGTTTTAAGTCACCCAAGGATGTGGTTATTACAATAGCCACAGGAAACTAACACAAGGAAGGCCAGGACGGTGACCTGAACTTGGTACTAGCAGCAAAGATGGAGGAAAGGGACCACATCAAAGAAATATTTAGGAGACCGAACTGAATATCTGAATAACTGGATAAACTCTCACCAAAAACTAAAAAAAAAAAGGGAGAAGAAAATATAAAAAATGTAACAGTGCATTATTAGGATACACTGATACCTACTGCACATTTCCCACTGCTGGGACATTTGTGAAGAGTGGCATTCTCTCCTAATGGATAGGTAACCTTGATGAGGTGAGGGGGGAGAAAGAGGAGGAGAGGAATTCCGTTGTCTTTGTTTTTCATTTGTTTTTTGTTTTTTTGAGACAGAGTCTCGCTCTGTCGCCTGGGCTGGAGTGCAGTGGTGTCAACTCGGCTCACTGCAATCTCCACCTCCTGGGTTCAAGCAAGTCTCCTGCCTTAGACTCCCAAGCAGCCGGGATTACAGGCAACTGCAACCATGCCTGGTTAATTTTTGTATTTTTTTTAGTAGAATTGGGGTTTCACCATGTTGGCCAGGCTGGTCTCGAACTCCTGGCTTCAAGTGATCCACCTGCCTCAGCCTCCAAAGCCCTGGGATTACAGGCGTGAGCCACTGCCCTGGCCTGTTGTCTTTATAGTTGACGATGATAATGATGCTTCCTGGAAGGCAGAAAATGAGAAGAAGAGCACAGGTTTTGTCATCACTCTGGGCTCCAGCTCCACGGCCTGCTAGTGGGGCAAGGCGTGCATCCAAACTTTTGTCTCCTCCCCTGTAAAGCAGGGATAACAACATCCCATAGCCTGGAGCTGCCAAGAGGAACGACCCAAATACCACAGGTTAAGGACCTTGATGAGTGGCTCAGGAGCACTGCACAAAGGGTGTCAATAACATTAACTGGTGGCCCCGCCCTCAGCAGCCTGTGCAGAAGACCAACCTGGGTAAATTGCTCCAGTTTAGAGAACCTGCTTCAAAATTATGCTGCTCGCCTACTTTCAGATGAATGTATTCTTTATCTTTACAGAGGACATATTTTTACCTTGTTTTTAAAACTTCTATAGCTTTATATAGCTGTGCCATTTTAGTAATCTGTTCTAACTTGCACTGTTTCATTTCTGAGTTCTTGCCTTACATTTTTCTTACCTTTTTAAAAAAACATTTTCTATTTTTATCTTTCATTAAAGGTTCAACTCAAATTTTTCTTTTAAAATAAAATTATTTCAGTTTCTATTTTTTCATGTATCTTTGTGTTTCTTTTTATTCCTCTTAAATTTTTAGATTTTAAGTTATTTTTTATGTTTGTTAAGATTATTAAAGAGATTACATATTTTAAAGTTGGCTTTCTCCATTAGGCCCATGTTTGGCAAACTTGGGGCCTGGCCTTCCAATTCTTGGCTTGAAAGGACAGCAAAAAAAAAAAAAAAACTTGGACAGGTTAATCACATGACACATGGAAGCTAATATTAAAGTGGGGGCTGGATCTTACTGAATTAAGACCTTATCTAAATGTTTTTTGCCTCCTTGGCTATAAAATCAATAATGAGGTCAGATAATTCTAGACCCAACTTTAGACTTCGACGAGGCTTACTTTTCTCCATTTCAGGACCTGTAGGCTGTTTTCTCAGTCTTCCTAGGCCCTTACTCTGATCAGATTCTGGAAAAGGACCAATTTATACATGTAGAATTAATTTTAAAGTACACTAACAATAGCCACCAACAACGTATTAAACATAGTGCTAAGTATTTTACGTGTACTCTCTTATTTAAACCTCCTCCCAGCACCTCTCCTACTAGATGCTATTACCCTGATTTTATAAACAATGAAACTGGGGCTAAGAAAGACTGGCCACTTGCTCGAGTATTCACAGCTCGTTCAGCGGCAAAGCCATGACCCCAATCCAGGCCTGTCTAACCACAAAGCCCACACCTTCTAGCCTTGGTGTTACGACACACAAATTACGTCAAGCCACAGTGAAAACTCCCTGGACCTCCAACTGTCCAAAGTTCAAAGTGACTGGTGTGTTCCAAATCCTGGCCGTTTGCTTACTCCAGTAATAAACCTGCTGATATGGTTTGGCCCTGTGTCCCCACCCAAATCTCCTGTCAAATTGTAATTCCCAATTTTGGGAGAAAGAACAGGCGGGAGGTGATTAAATCACGGGGTGGATGTTCCCCTTGCTGTTCTTGTGATAGTGGTTCTCATAAGATCTGGTTGTTTAAAAGTAGGTGGCGCTTCCCCCGTCATTCTCGCTCTCTCCTGCTACGTCATGGTAAGAGGTGCTTGCTTCTCCTTCACCCTCCACCTTCCATGACTGTAAGTTTCCTGAGACCCTCCAGCCATGCTTCCTGTACAGCCTGCAGAACTGTGAGTTAATTAAACATCTTTTCTTCATAAATTACCCAGTCAGGTAGTTTGTTTTTTGAGAGGAGTCTTGCTCTGTCACCCAGGCCAGAGTGCAGTGGCGTCATCTTGGCTCACTGCAACCTCCACCTCCCGGGTTCAAGTGATTTTTCTGCCTCAACCTCCTGAGTAGCTGGGACTACAGGCCCTGCTATGATGCCCAGCTGATTTCTGTATTTTTAGTAGAGACGAGGTTTCACCATGTTGGCCAGGTTGGTCTCGAACTCCTGACCTCAAGTGATCTGCCAGCCTCAGCCTCCTAAAGTGCTGGGATTACAGGCACGGGTCACCATGCCTGGCCTGTCAGGTAGTTCTTTATAGCAGTGTGAGAATGGACTAATACAGCTGGTAAGAACTAAAATGGATGAACTCAGAGTAAACCTATACCTTTTTAAAAAGGCTTTCTTCTACTCCTGCTTAGCAAATTTTAAATCTGATTTTCTCAAGCCATTTTTTCTACTGAGAAGCTAACAGGTTTTAAAGACCATTATTCCACAATTGACCAGTTGCACTCTATCAGCCTGTGTAGGGCTCTATTAAAAACAATATTAAGACAGTTTGCACTTTTTTTTTTTTTTGAGACGGAGTCTCACTCTATTGCCCAGGCTGGAGTGCAGTGGCATGATCTCGGCAACCTCTGCCTCCCAAGTTCAAGCAATTCTCCTGCCCCAATCTACCGAGTAGGTGGGATTACAGGCATGTGCCACCACGCCCAGCTAATTTTTGTATTCTTAGTAGAGATGAGGTTTCACCATGTTGGTCAGGCTGGTCTCCAACTCCTGAACTCAGGTAATCCACCTGCCTCGGCCTCCCAAAGTGCTGGGATTTACAGGTGTGAGTCACCACACCCGGCCAGTTTGCAACTTTAATTACCTATCTTTCCCTGGCCTCCAACTCTGTACAATTTCTAACGTGAACTATAACCCATTAGTTCAGGAGACCCCTAGTGACTGATTGTTTCAGAAAGTCTGCCCTTTATTATCTTTAAGCAGTCAAGTTCAGCAGGACTTATTTTTGTTAAATCAAACAAAAATGCTAAGAAATGATAAAAGCGATAATAGTAGCTAAGATATCTTGAGT